AGGGAGGGGTTTGGGGTGGGTTTTAGGAGGGGTTTTGAGGTGCCCTGATGGGGCTGTGGGTTCACCCCAAGGTGTGGGTGTTTCTGGGGTGTTTCTGGGGTGTTTTTGGGGTGCATTTCTGGTCTCTCCTGACCCGTTTTCCCCCCTGCCCAGCCCAAGGTGGTGTGGCTGAAGAACCAGGTTTTGGGGTCACCTTGTGGGGTGTTTTTGGGGTGGATTTGGGGGTCCCCCAACCCATTCTCCCCATCCCAATGGGGCTGTGGGTTCACCCCGAGGTGTGGGTGTTTCTGGGGTGTTTTGAGGTGGATTTTGGGGGTCACTCCCCCCGTAAGTAGGGGATGGATTCAGACCCAGGTGTGGGTGTTTCTGGGGTGTTTTTGGGGTGCATTTCTGGTCCCTCCTGACCCGTTTTCCCCCCTGCCCAGCCCAAGGTGGTGTGGCTGAAGAACCAGATGGCCATCGGGGACGACCCGCGGTTCCTGGCCCGGCACAGCCAGGGGGTCCTGACCCTGCTCATCCGCAAGCCGGGCCCCTTCGACGGCGGCACCTACGGCTGCAGGGCCAGCAACGAGCTGGGGGAGGCCCTGACCGAGTGCAGGCTCGAGATCCGCGGTGAGGGGGCACCCCAAAAACCCGCGGGGGGGTCCCCAAAATCCCGGGGGGGGTCCCTAAAAGCGGGGGGGTCTGTAGGAGTCCGGGGGAGGCACCCCCGGGTCTGGGGGTCTTGGAGCGGGGACGGTGGGAGGGGATGGATGAGGGTGAAGTGGGGATTTGGGGGGGGGAATGTGCACCTAAAAATCGGGGTGGGAGGTGGGGTCCCCAAAAATCCCGGGGGGGTCCTAAAATCGGGGGGGTCTGTGGGAGTCCGGGGGAGGCACCCCCGGGTCTGGGGGTCTTGGAGCGGGGACGGTGGGAGGGGATGGATGAGGGTAAAGTGGGGATTTGGGGGGGAAAGGGGCACCCTAAAAATCGGGGGGGGTCCCCAAAATCCCGGGGGGGGTCCCTAAAATCGGGGGGGTCTGTGGGAGTCCGGGGGAGGCACCCCCGGGTCTGGGGGAGGGTCCCCGGGGGTCTCGGAAGGGGGACGGTGGGAGGGGAATGATGAGGGTGAAGTGGGGATTTGGGGGGGAAAAGGGGCACCCCAAAAATCGGGGGGGGTGTCCCAAATTCGAGGAGGGGTCCCCAAATTCGGGGAGGGGTCCCTAAAATCGGGGGGAGTGTCAGGAGTACCTGGGGGGGCCCCCAGGGGTCTCGGAAGGGGGACGGTGGGAGGGGAATGATGAGGGTGAAGTGGGGATTTGGGGGGGAAAAGGGGCACCCCAAAAATCAGGGGGGTCCCCAAATTCGTGGAGGGGTCCCTAAAATAGGGGAGGGGTCCCCAAAATCGTGGAGGGGTCCCTAAAATCGGGGGGGGAGGTCAGGTGTTCACTGGGGGGGGAGTCCCCGGGGGGTCTCGGAAAGGGGGCCGGTGGGAAGGGGATGTATGAGGGTGAAGTTGCGGGATTTGGGGGTGAAAAGGGGCAAACCAAAAATGTGGGGGGGGGGGGTCCCCAAAATCCCGGGGGGGGTCCCTAAAATCGGGGGGGTCTGTGGGAGTCCGGGGGAGGCACCCCCGGGTCTGGGGGTCTTGGAGCGGGGACGGTGGGAGGGGATGGATGAGGGTGAAGTGGGGATTTGGGGGGGAAAGGGGCACCCCAAAAACCCGGGGGGGGTCCCCAAAATCCCGGGGGGGTCCCCAAAATAGGGGAGGGGTCCCTAAAAGCAGGGGGGTCTGTGGGAGTCGGGGGGAGGCACCCCCGGGTCTGGGGGAGGGTCCCCGGGGGTCTCGGAAGGGGGACGGTGGGAGGGGATGGATGAAGGTGAAGTGGGGATTTGGGGGGGAAAGGGGCACCCCAAAAACCCGGGGGGGGTCCCCAAAATTCCGGGGGGGGTCCCTAAAAGCAGGGGGGTCTGTAGGAGTCTGGGGGAGGCACCCCCGGGTCTGGGGGTCTTGGAGCGGGGATGGTGGGAGGGGATTGGTGAGGGTGAAGTGGGGATTTGGGGGGGAAAGGGGCACCCTAAAAACCCGGGGGGGGGTCCCCAAAATCCCGGGGGGGGGTCCCTAAAAGCGGGGGGGTCTGTGGGAGTCCGGGGGAGGCACCCCCGGGTCTGGGGGTCTTGGAGCGGGGACGGTGGGAGGGGATTGGTGAGGGTGAAGTGGGGATTTGGGGGGGAAAGGGGCACCCCAAAAATCGGGGGGGGGGGTCCCAAATTCGAGGAGGGGTCCCTAAAATAGGGGAGGGGTCCCTAAATTCAGGGAGGGGTCCCTAAAATCAAGGGGAGTGTCAGGAGTACCTGGGGGGGTCCCCAGGGGTCTCGGAAGGGGGACGGTGGGAGGGGATTGGTGAGGGTGAAGTGGGGATTTGGGGGGAAAAGGGGCACCCCAAAAATCGGGGGGGGTCCCAAATTCGAGGAGGGGTCCCTAAAATCGGGGAGGGGTCCCCAAAATCGTGGAGGGGTCCCTAAAATCAGGGGGAGTGTCAGGGGTACCTGGGGGGGTCCCCGGGGGTCTCAGAAGGGGGACGGTGGGAGGGGAATGATGAGGGTGAAGTGGAGATTTGGGGGGGGAAAGGGACACCCTAAAAATCGGGGGGGGGTCCCCAAAATCCCGGGGGGGTCCCTAACATCCGGGGGTCTGAGGAGTCAGGGGGAGGCACCCACGGGTTGGGAGGGTCCCGGGGGGTCTCGGAGGAAGGGCGGGACGGTGGGATGGGCTGTGCGGGTGAAGTGGGGATTTGGTGGGAAAGGGGAACCCTTACCAACGGGGGGGGGGTCCCCAAAATCCCTGGGGGGTCCCTAAAATCGGGGGTGTCTGTAGGGATTCGGGGAGGCACCCCCGGGTCTGGGGGGTCTTGGAGCGGGGATGGTTGGGAGGGATGATTAGGGTTGAAAGTGGAGATTTGGGGGGGGAAAAGGGGCACCCCAAAAATCGGGGGGGGTGTCCCAAATTCGGGGAGGGGTCCCTAAAATAGGGGAGGGGTCCCTAAAATCGTGGAGGGGTCCCTAAAATCAGGGGGAGTGTCAGGGGTACCTGGGGGGGTCCCCGGGGGTCTCAGAAGGGGGACGGTGGGAGGGGATGGATGAGGGTGAAGTGGAGATTTGGGGGGGAAAGGGGCACCCCAAAAATCGGGGGGGGGGTCCCCAAAATCCCGGGAGGGTCCCTAAAATCGGGGGGGTCTGTGGGAGTCCGGGGGAGGCACCCCCGGGTCTGGGGGTCTTGGAGCGGGGATGGTGGGAGGGGATTGGTGAGGGTGAAGTGGGGATTTGGGGGGGAAAGGGGCACCCTAAAAATCGGGGGGGGGTCCCAAATTCGAGGAGGGGTCCCTAAAATAGGGGAGGGGTCCCCAAAATCGGGGGGAGTGTCAGGGGTACCTGGGGGGGTCCCTGGGGGTCTTGGAGCAGGGATGGAGGGAGGGATTGATGAGGGTAAAGTGGAGATTTGGGGGGGGGGGGGTTCCCCAAAATCGTGGGGGGGGTCCCTAAAATTTTGGGATCCCCAAAATTTGGGGGGGGGGGGGGGTTGGTACCTGTGGGAGGTGCTGGAGGGAGTTTGGGGGGGATTAAAGAGACCCCCGCCCCCCAAAACTTGAAGGGGGGCCCTTCAAAATTTGGGGAGGGGTCTTCAAAATTAAGGGGCGTCCTAAAATTTGGGGAGGGGTCCCAAAATTTGGAGGGGGGGTCCCAAAAGAAAGAGCCCCCCCCCCAAATTGTGTCTCTCCCCCCCCCCCCAGTAGTGCCCCAGTGACGGAGACACAGGATGGTGAGTGGGGGGCTTTAATTAGGGGGAGGGATTAATTGGGGGGATTTAATTGGGGTCTGTAATTAGGGGCTTTAATTGGGGGGTGGTCTTTAACTGGGAGGTTGAATTGGGGAATTTAATAAGGGGGTTAATTGGGGTCTGTAATTAGGGGCTTTAATTGGGGGGTGGTCTTTAACTGGGAGGTTGAATTGGGGAATTTAATAAGGGGGTTAATTGGGGTCTGTAATTAGGGGCTTTAATTGGGGGAGTCTTTAACTGGGAGGTTGAATTGGGGGATTTAATAAGGGGGTTAATTGGGGTCTGTGATTAGTGGGTTTAATTGGGGGGGTCTTTAACTGGAAGGTTTAATTGGGGGGATTAATTGGGGGGATTTAATAAGGGGGTTAATTGGGGTCTGTAATTAGGGGCTTTAATTGGGGGGTGGTCTTTAACTGGGAGGTTTAATTGGGGGGATTAATTGGGGGGGATTAATGAGAGGGTTAATTGGGTGTTTAATTAGGGGACTCATTGGAGGGTCTTTATTTGGGGGGTTAATTGGAGGGAGTTTAATTGGGGGGGTTGTTCAATTGGGGGGCTTAATTGGGGGAGCCCAATTAGGGGGGTTAATTGGGGAGTCTTAAACTGGGGAGGTGGATTGGGGGGGTTAATTAGGGGGTCTTTAATTGGGAGGGGGTCTTTTGGGGGGGTTAATTGTGGGAGGGTTAATTGGTGGTCTTCGATGGGAATGTGTTTAACTGGGGGTCTTTAATTAGAGAATTTTTAATTGGGGGAGGGGTGTTCAATTTGGGGGGGGACCAATTTTGGGCTGGTCATGTTTATTTTGAGGGGTTTCCCCTTATTTTTGGGATGCTGAGCCCCCTTTTTGCCCCCCCCCCTTCCTCAGGCTGCCCACGGTGGGGAGGAAGAAGAGGGTGAAGGCCCCCAGAGCCCCCCAAAAATAAAGAGTTTCAGCAGCCCCCAAAAATAAAGACAGACGTGTGCCGCCGCCCCCTCGCCGCGGGCCGTCTTGCACGGTGGGGGGGACCTGGCGTGACGGGGGGGGCAAGTGTATCCCGCGGGTCCAGGCATGGCACGCACACGGGGCCTCCGCACAGGGCCCGACCGGTCCCTGGCCACATTCCCGCCCTGTGCCCGCCGGTGTGCCCGCCCGTGGCCTCCTCACAGGGCCCGCCCTTGGCCCGACAGGCCTCCAGGTGCCCCTCGACATGGGCCCCCGGGGCCCCGCACAGGTTACCGCCAAGGGGTGGCCCTCCACATTTCCACCCGGGGCCCCGACAGTTCCCACCGGTGCCCTCACATGCACCCGTGGCCCCGTCACATGTTCCCGCCCTGGTGCCCCTCACATGTCCTCCGCCGTGTCCGCACAGTCCCTCCTTTCCCCGCACAGGTTCCCACCCCTTTGTCCCCCGCACAGGGCCCTCCCTTGGCCCCTTCACATGGTCCCTACCCAGTTCCCCCTCACTTCTCAACATTTTCCCTCACAGGTCTCACCCTTTCCCAGCCCAGGTGGTTGCTTGTTCCCGCACATTTCTCTGCATTCCCTCACCATTCCCGATGGGCCCCGCAAGGCGCCCTAAAGGGGGCCCGCACTTTCCCGCCTTGGAAATCGCTACAGGGCCCACCCGGGTCCCCCAACTTTCCGCCCGGTGGTGCCCCGCACAGGGCCCACAGGGGGGTCCCCTCTCCTCTTTGCCAGCCGTTGTCCCCGCACAGTTGCCCTCCATCTTTCCCCTCACATTTCCCTCCATTTTCCCCTCACATTTCCCTCCCTTTTCCCCTCACAATTCCCTCCTTTTCCCCTCATATTTCCCGCCCTTTTCCCCTCACATTTCCCTCCATTTTGTCCCCTCACCTTTCCCTCCCTTTTCCCCTCACCTTTCCCACCCTTTCCCCTCATGTTTCCCGCCCTTTCCCCCCTCACATTTCCCTCCATTTTGTCCCCTCACCTTTCCCACCCTTTCCCCTCACATTTCCCACCCTTTTCCCCTCACATTTCCCTCCATTTTGTCCCCTCACCTTTCCCTCCATTTTGTCCCCTCACCTTTCCCTCCCTTTTCCCCTCACCTTTCCCACCCTTTCCCCTCATGTTTCCCGCCCTTTCCCCCCTCACATTTCCCTCCATTTTGTCCCCTCACCTTTCCCTCCATTTTGTCCCCTCACCTTTCCCACCCTTTCCCCTCACATTTCCCGCCCTTTTCCCCTCATATCCTGGCCTGGCTGAGGAAGAGTGTGGCAGCAGGAGCAGGGCAGTGATTGTTGGCCTGGACTGAGCGCTGGTGAGGCCACCCCTGGAGTGCTGTGTCCAGCTCTGGGCCCTGAGTTGAGGAAGACCCTGGAGGGGCTGGAGCAGGTGCAGAGAAGAGCAGCAAGGCTGGGGAAGGGACTGGAGCACAAGTGCTGTGAGGAGAGGCTGAGGGAGCTGGGGGGGCTCAGCCTGGAGAAGAGGAGGCTCAGGGGAGACCTCCTCACTCTCTGCAACTCCCTGACAGGAGGGGGGAGCCGGGGGGGGAGTTGATCTCTTCACCCAGGCAGGGATCAGTAAAACAAGAGGGCTCAGTCTTCAGCTGTGCCAGGGGAGGGTCAGGTTGGATATTAGGAAGAATTTCTTTACAGAGAGGGTGCTCAGCCATTGGAATGGGCTGCCCAGGGAAGGGGTGGATTCTCCATCCCTGGAGGTGTTTAAGGACAGACTGGATGTGGCATCAGTGCCATGGGCTGGGAACCACGGCGGGGTTGGATCAAGGGTTGGACTTGATGATCTCAAAGGTCCCTTCCAACCCAGCTGGTTCTATGATTCTATGATTTCCCTCCCTTTTCCCCTCACATTACCCACCATTTTGTCCCCTCACGTTTCCCGCCATTTTGTCCCCTCACGTTTCCCGCCCTTTTCCCCTCACATTTCCCACCGTTTTCTCTCACATTTCCCATCCTTTTTCCCTCACATTTCTCATCATTTTCCCCTCACATTTCCCACCATTTCCTCTCACATTTACCGCCCTTTTCCCCTCACATTTCCCACCCTTTCCCCCTCACGTTTCCCACCATTTCGTCCCCTCCTATTTCCCTCCTTTTCTCCTCACATCTCCCACCCTTTTCCCCTCACATTTCCCAACGTTTCGTCCCCTTACAGTTCATGCCCTTTTCCCCTCACATTTTCCCACCACCCCAAAACTGCCCCACGGGGCCCCCAAACCATCTCACAGCACCCCAGAAGCGCCCGACGGATCCAACACGTTTATTCTCCAGGAGCCGGGGGGGGAAGTCATGTTGGGCATCTCCATTTCAGGGGATCCTGGAGGGTCTCAGCCCTGGGTCAGGGCACTCAGGGCCCTGGGGCGCAGGGGGTCCCCATTTTGGGGGGTCTCAGCCCCGGGTCAGGGCACTCATGGCCCTGGGGCGCAGGGGGTCCCCATTTTGGGGGGTCTCAGCCCCAGGTCAGGGCACTCATGGCCCTGGGGCGCAGGGGGTCCCCATTTTGGGGGGTCTCGGTGTTCTGAGGGTCTCAGTCCCAGGTCAGGGCACTCAGGGTGCTCAGGGCCGGGGGGCACAGGGGGTCCCCATTTTGGGGGATTTTGGGGGGTCTCATTCCCGAGTCAGGGCAGTCAGGGCCGTGGGGTGCAGGGGGTCCCCATTTTGGAGGGTCCCGGGGGGTCCCAGGGAGTTTTGGGGGTCTCATTCCCGGGTCAGGGCGCTCAGGGCACTCAGGGCCGTGGGGTGCAGGGGGTCCCCATTTTGGGGGGTCTCAGGGTGTTTTGAGGGTCTCAGTCCCAGGTCAGGGCACTCAGGGTGCTCAGGGCCGGGGGGCACAGGGGGTCCCCATTTTGGGGGATTTTGGGGGGTCTCATTCCCGAGTCAGGGCAGTCAGGGCCGTGGGGTGCAGGGGGTCCCCATTTTGGAGGGTCCCGGGGGGCCCCAGGGGATTTTGGGGGTCTCATTCCCGGGTCAGGGCACTCAGGGCACTCAGGGCAGTGGGGTGCAGGGGGTCCCCATTTCGGAGGGTCCCGGGGGGTCCCAGGGGATTTTGGGGGTCTCATTCCCGGGTCAGGGCGCTCAGGGCACTCAGGGCCGTGGGGTGCAGGGGGTCCCAGGGGGTTTTGGGGGTCTCAGTCCCGGGTCAGGGCACTCAGGGCCGTGGGGCACAGGGGGTCCCCATTTTGGGGGGTCTCAGGGTGTTTTGAGGGTCTCAGTCCCGGGTCAGGGCACTCAGGGTGCTCAGGGCCGTGGGGTGCAGGGGGTCTCAAGGGGTCCCCATTTTGAGGGGTCCCAGGGGGTCTCAGTCCCAAGTCAGGACACTCAGGGCTGTGGGGTGCAGGGGGTCCCCATTTTGGGGGGTTTTGGGGGTCTCATTCCCGGGTCAGGGCGCTCAGGGCGCTCATGGCCGTGGGGTGCAGGGGTTCCCCATTCGGGGGGTTTTGGGGGTCTCATTCCTGGGTCAGGGCGCTCAGGGCTGTGGGGTGCAGGGGGTCCCCATTTTGGGGGTCTCATTCCCGGGTCAGGGCGCTCAGGGCCGTGGGGCGCAGGGGATCCCCATTTTGGGGGTCTCAGTCCCGGGTCAGGGCGCTCAGGGCGCTCAGGGCCGTGGGGTGCAGGGGGTCCCGGGGGGTCCCGGGGGGCAGCAGCAGCAGCAGCAGCAGGTCGGGGCGCAGGAGGCAGCACCCCGTGTGCGTCGGCAGCGCCGTGTAACACAACCTGGCCCCGGGGGGGGGTCCTGGGGGGCACCCCAACATCGTGTCAGCCCCCTAAACCCACAGCCGACCCCCCCGGACCCACAACTGAGCCTCCAGACCCCACAACCCCCCTGCACCCCCAAATGAGTCCGTGTGTGTCAGCCCAGCCCCGGGTGGAGGGGGAGTCATGGGGGGCACCCCAAAATCGTGTCAGCCCCCCCCAAACCCCCAACTGACCCCCCCCGAACCCCCCCAGACCCCCAAGTGATCCCCCGTGTGTGTCAGCCCAGCCCCAGGGGGGTCCTGGGGGGCACCCCAAAATCGTGTCACCCGCCCCAAACCCACAGCTGACCCCCCCCCCCAAACCACTCCAGACCCCCAAATGACTCCATGTGTGTCAGCCCATTCCTGGGGGGGGGTCATGGGGGGCACCCCAAAATCGTGTCACCCCCCCAAACCCCCAACTGAACCCCTCAGAACCCCCCTGGACCCCCAACTGAGCCCCCAGACCCCCACAACCCCCCTGGACCCCCAAGTGACTCCCCCCTTGGTCCCTCTCCGACCCCCCAAATGCTCCCCCCAGCCCCAAAAACTGCCCCCCCTCGATCCCCCTCAGCCCCCCAACTGCCCCCCCCGAGGATCTTGGGGGTCTCTGCCCCCCCGGGACCCCCCCAAAACTCACCCCGTGCCCCCCCCTCGGGGCTGTACTGGGGGGCCAGGAGGGTGTGAAGGGTCCTCAGGGCGTCGGCGCGGAGATGGGGGGGCAACGACCCTGCTGGGGGGGGCACGGGGGGGCACCAGGGGGGAATTGGGGTTTTGGGGGGGACCCATGGAGGTTTGGGGCGAAATTAAGGGGTTGGGGGGGGGTTGCGGGGTCCAGGGGGTGGTTTCAGGGGGAAGGAACTTGAGGTTCAGGTCGAGGGCTTGGAGCAATGAGGTGGTTATTTGGGGGGGGGGGAGGTGAGGGTGGGGGGGGGGTAGGGGATGTGGAGGTCTTGGAGGGGACGAAAATGGGGGGTTTGGGGGGGTCAGGGGAGGTTGGGGGGAGAAATTTGGAGGTTTCCAGGGGGGTCTGGTGAGGAAATGAAGGGGTTTGGGGGGGTGTTGGGGGGGAAATTTGGAGGTTTGGGGGGGCTTGGAGAGGAAATGAAGGGGGTTGGGGAAGTTTTGGGGGTGTTGGGGGGGGGAAATTTGGAGGTTTGGGGGGCCTTGGAGAGGAAATGAAGGGGTTTGGGGGGGTTTTGGGGGTCTGGGGGGAAATGGGGGGTCTGAGGGGGGCAATGGGGGGGTCAGAGGGCAGGTATTTTTGGGGGGGGGGGTACGTACCCGGCCCCCCTCCCTTGACGATCCCGCTGCGGGTCCGTCCCTGATGGATCAGGAGGTACCTGGGGAGGGGGAGGAAGAGTTTGGGGACCCCCCTCAGAGTCCCCAAATCAAGGCAGGGGGTTCAGAGCACCCTCGGGAGGTTCAGGACCCCCCAGGAGCCCCCCCAGGGGTTCAGGGACCCCCCAAAAATCCCCTCAAGGGTTCAGGGACCCCCCCCTCAAAAAACCCCCCAAGGGTTCAGGGACCCCCCCCAGAATCCCCCTCGGACCCCCCAAATGGGATTCAGGACCCCCTCAAGAGCCCCCTCAGGGGTTCAGGGACCCCCCAGACCCCCCCTCAGACCCCTCAAAGGGGTTCATGGCCCCCCCAAGGGTTCAGGGACCCCCCAAATCCCCTCTCAGACCCCCCAAAAGGGGTTCAGGACCCCCCCAAGAGCCCCCTCAGGGATTCAGGGACCCCCCAGACCCCCCCTCAGACCCCTCAAAGGGGTTCATGGCCCCCCCAAGGGTTCAGGGACCCCCCAAGAGCCCCTCCCAGGGGTTCAGGGACTGCCCAACACCCCCCCCCCAGACCCCCCAAAAGGGATTCAGGACCTCCCAGGAGCCCCCCCAGGGGTTCAGGGACCCCCCAAACAAGGTTCAGAGCCCCCAGACCCCCCCTCAGACCCCCCAAGAGGGATTCAGGACCCCTCAAGAGCCCCCCCAGGGGTTCAGGGACCCCCCCAAATCCCCTGCCTCGGACCCCCCAAAAGGGGTTCATGGCCCCCCCAAGAGCCCCCCCAAGGGGTTCAGAGCCCCCAGACCCCCCCTCAGACCCCTCAAAGGGGTTCATGGCCCCCCTAAGGGTTCATGCCCCCCCCCCAAGAACCCCCCCCAAAGGGTTCAGAGCCCCCAGATCCCCCCCTCAGACCCCCCAAAAGGGATTCAGGACCTCCCAGGAGCCCCCCAGGGTTCAGGGACCCCCCAGGAGCCCCCCCCGGGGTTCAGGGACCCCCCCAGACTCCACCCACGACCTCGGGGGGGCGCGGGGGGGAGGGGGGCGGGCGCCGCCCCGGAGCTGCTCCAGGACGGGACCCCAAAACTGGGGCACGAGCTGGGGGGGGGGGTGGGGGGTGGGGAGGGTTATTGGGGGGGGAGACACTCCCAGACCACCCCCAAAATCCCTCCAGACCTCCCAGACCCCCCTAAACCCCGGGTGAGGTGGGGGGCACCCCCCAGACCCTAAAACTCCCCCCAGGTGCCCCCCAGCCCCTCACCTGTGTCACCAGGTGTTGAGGGGGACAGGAAGATCCCCCCCCCGGAGAGACGGGAAGAGAGGTTTCGGTGGGGGGGAGGGGGGGGGAGGGGGGGAGGGGGGGGAGCCCCCCCCCCCCCCCACTGCTCCCCAACCCCTCTAAACCCCCCAGTCCCTCCCCCGGATGAGGTGGGGGGCACCCCCAGACCCCCAAGCCCCCCCCAAAGCCTCCCCAGCCCCTCACCTGTGTCACCAGGTGTTGAGGGGGACAGGAAGACACCCCCAGACCCCTCCAACCCCTCTAAACCCCCCAGTCCCTCCCCTGGGTGAGGTGGGGTCACCCCCAGACCCTAAAACTCCTCTCGAAGCCCCCCCAGGTGCCCCCCAGCCCCTCACCTGTGTCACCAGGTGCTGGGGGGGAGGCTACTAAGACACCCCCAGACCCCCCCAACCCCTCTAAACCCCCCTAAATCCCCCAGTCCCTCCCCTGGGTGAGCTGGGGGGCACCCCCAGACCCCCACAATCCCCCCCAAAGCCCCCCCAGGTGCCCCCCAGCCCCTCACCTGTGTCACCAGGTGCTGCAGGGAGGGGGTGGGGCCGCAGAGCAGCGCGACCCCCACCCCCGGCACCAGCTCCAGCAGCAGCAGCCGGTGGGGGACCTGGGGGGGGGCACAATTGGGGGTCTGGGGGGGCATTTGGGGGGCTGGAGGGGACATTTAGGGTTTGGGGAGGGGTCAGTTTGGGGTCAGTTTTGGGTAGTTTGGGGTCTGGGGGATCCCGGGGGGGGGTGTCCCGAAAGGTCAGTTTGGGGCCAATTTGGGGTCCGTTATGGGTCTGGGGGTCAGTTACAGGGTTCGGGGGTCCCAAGGGGTCAGTTATGGGTCAGTTTGGGGTTTTTTTGGGTCATTTTCGGATAATTTTGGGGGTCGTTTCAGCGGTCGCACCACGTGACCTCACCTGCGGGCTGCTATTGGGCAGGAACACGGGGAGGGTTGGGGGTTCAGTTTGGGGTCTCGAGGGGTCAACTTTAGCTCCCTTCGTGTTATGGGTCAGTTTGGGGTAACTTTGGGTCATTTTGGGTTAGTTTAGGGTCTTTCGGGGGTCGTTTCTGGGGTCCCGTCACGTGATCTCACCTGGGGGCTGCTATTGGGTAGGAAAGTGGGGAGGCTTGGGGGGGGTCAGTTTGGAGTCTGGGGGGTGAGTTATGGGTCTGTTTGGGGTCCCAAGGGGTCAACTTTAGCTCACTTCGTGTTATGGGTCAGTTTGGGGCAGTTTTGTGCCATTTTGGGCCAGTTTTGTGTCAGTTTTGGGTCATTTGGGGTTCATTTCCGGGGTCGCGTCACGTGACCTCACCTACGGGCTGCTATTGGGCAGGAACTCGGGGAGGGTTGGGGGATAAGTTTGGGGTCTGGGGGGGCCAATTATGGGTCAGTTTGGGGTCCCGAGGGGCCAGTTAGGGCTCCGTTTGTCCCGTGGGTCGGTCTGGGGTAATTTTAAGTCATTTTAGGTCATTTTGGCGTCGATTTCGGGTCATTTGGGGATCTCACTTCCGGTGCGCCGCGATCACGTGACCTCACCTGCGGGCTGCTATTGGGCAGGAAGACGGGCAGGTCGCGCGCGGCGGGGCCGGGGCCGAGGGCGCCCCCTGGCGGCAGCAGCGCCGCCAGCAGGGCCGAGTCCCGCGCGGGCAGCGCCCCCCAGCGGCGGGTCCGCAGCGCTCCCGCCGCCCCCCCCCCGAAAAACAGGCACCCCAAATCCGTGTGTGCGGCCCCCGAAAACCGCTCCAGCCGCTCCTGGGGGGGGGACAGGGGTCAGGGGGGACCCCCGAAGTGAGGGGACACCCCTGGGACACCCCCGAATTCCGGGGACCCCCCCAAAGCCCGGGGAGCCTCCTGAGACCCCTCCCCAAATCATGGGGGACCCCCCCAAATCCGTGTGTGCGGCCCCCGAGAACCGCTCCAGCCGCTCCTGGGGGGGCACGGAGGGGTCGGGGGGGACCCCAGGAGTGAGGGGACACCCCTGGGACACCCCCGAATTCCGGGGACCCCCCCCAAAATCACAAGGACCCTCCCGGGACCACCCCCAGGACCCCCCCAAATCCGTGTGTGCGGCCCCCCAGAACCGCTCCAGCCGCTCCTGGGGGGGCGCGGAGGGGTCAGGGGGGACCCCCGGACAGGGGGGGACACCCCCCCAATTCCAGGGACCCCCCCAAAGCCCGGAGACCCCCCTGGGACCACCCCCAGGACCCCCCCAAATCAGTGTGTGCCACCCCCAGGGATATTTGGGGGTCTCAGGAGGGGGTTGAGGGTTCCTGGAGTGGATTTGGGGTCCCGGGAGGGGGTTTTGAGGGTCCCACAGAGAAATTCGGGGGTCCCAGGGGGTGTTTTGGGGGTCCCAGAGATGTTTTGGAGGTCCCAGGGGTGGATTTGGGGGTCCCAGGGGGTGTTTTGGGGGTCCCAGGGGCTGTTTTGGTGTTGGGGGGTCCTGGGGGGGGGTGGGGGTCCCTGGGGGGGATTTGGTTGGGGGGTCCTGGGGGTGGAATTGGGGGGTCCCCGTGGGGGGATTGGGGGGTCCCAGGGGGGGTTATGGGGTCTAGGGGAGGGGTTTGAGGGGGTTTCCTGGGGTGGATTTGGGGATCCCAGGGGGAGTGTGATGAGATCCAAGAAGGGGTTTAATGGTGGTGTGGGGGAGGGGGTGGTGGGGGGTGGTCCCAGGGCCAGTTTTGGCGTCCGCTGGGGGGGGGGGATTTGGGGTCCCGGGGAGTTTTGGTGGGGGTCCTGGGGGGGTTGGTGGTCCCAGGGTGGAGTTTGGGGGTCCCGCGGTGAATTTTTTTGGGGGGTGCAGAGTTTGTTGGGTTGGGGTTGGGGTCCCGCCCGGGGGGGGGGTTTTGGGGGGTCCTCACCTGCAGAGCGTCACGGGGGGTCCCCGGGGGGAGGGGGCTGCAGGGGGGTCCCAGCCCCCACCCCCCTCCGGGCTTCAGGAGGGCGTCGATGAGCCCAAAACAGCTCTGGGGGGGCAAAAAGGGGAGGGGGGGCACAGGCTGGGACCCCCCCAGTGCCCCCCACGAACCCCAAACACCCCCTCCAGTCCCGGCATTGCCCCACCCGGACGACCCAGTTACCCCCCCAGAACACCCTGCGATAATACCGCCCCGCAACCCCCCAGAACCCCCCCCAAACACCGCCAATGGGTGCCCCCCCGACCCGACCCCCCCTTGCCCCCCAACCCCCCGGGGACCCCCCCGGGACCCCGCGGGACCAGGCCCCGGCTCCCCCAGTGTGCCCCAACCCACCCACTGACCCCACCCGACCCTCCAATGGGCCCCCCGGACCACCCCCAGTTACCACCCCCCGGACCCGTCTTACCCCCCCCCCCCGGACCCCCAGGACCCCTCCCAGACCACCCATTGCCCCCCTAAACCCCCTCACTGCCCCCCCCGGGCCCCCCAGGACCCTTCTTGTCCCCCCCCCAGACTCCCCCAGACCCCCCAGGACCCCCCAGTTTCCCCCCAGACCCCCCCTGGACCCCCCCAGGACCCCCCGGGCTCCTCCAGTTGCCCCCCAAACCTGCCCGTTGCCCCCCCCAGACCCTCCATTGCCCCCCCAGGACCCCCCAGTTACCCCTCAGGACCCTTCTTGTCCCCCCTCAGACTCCCCCAGACCCCCCCCAAACACCCCAATTTCCCCCCCGACCCCCCCGTTGCCCCCCCAGACCCCTCCGGGACCCCCCCAGGACCCCCCGGGCTCCCCCAGTTGCCCCCAAAAACCCCCCACTGACCCCCCCCGACCTCCAGTGGCCCCCCTGACCCCCCAGTGGTACCGTTTACACCCCAGGAACACTTTTTAAAAAGTAAGTTACACAGAAGTAAGTAAGTAAACCCCCCGCCCCCGGAACCCCAGGACCCCTCCAGACCACCGTCCTTGAACCCCTAAGCCCCCTCATTGCTCCGGCCGCGAGGATTCCCCCAGGACTCTCTGGGTCCCCGCCCAGACTCACCCAGATTCCCCAAGGTGATACCACCCATGTTTCCCCCGCAGACCTGCCCCCTGGACCCCCACAGGACCCCCCCGGCTCCCCCATGGCCCCCCAAACCGCCCGTTCCCCCCCCCAGACCCCTCTACTTGTACTGCCCCCTCAGGACCCCGGACCCTTCTGTCCCCCCACCAGTGCTCCCCAGGACACCCCGGTTGCCCCCCCAGGACCCCCCCAGACACCACTGGGACCCCCCAGGCTCCCCCAGTTGCCCCCCAGATCCACCCGTTGCCCTCCCTAACACCACCCCCGGGACCCCCCAGGACCCTTTTTGCCCCCCTGGGACCCCCCAAGACCCCCCTGGGACCCCCCAGGACCCCCCCGGGACCCCCCCCCTCACCCTGAGCTCCCGTTTGAGCCGCTCCACGTTGCGGACGGGCACCAGTTCATCCAGTCCCAGCACCAGCACCTGCGGGACTGGGATGGACTGGGAGCACTGGGAGGGGGGGCAGGGGGCACTGGGAGGGACTGGGAGCACTGGCAGGGGGGGCAGGGGGCACTGGAGGACTGGGGGAACTGGGGGGGGGGGGTGTGGGGCATGGGATGGACTGGGAGCACTGGGAGGGGGGGCAGGGGGCACTGGGAGGGACTGGGAGCACTGGGAGGGGAGGCAGGGGGCACTGGGAGGGACTGGGAACACTGGGAGGGGGGTGGGGGGCACTGGGAGGGACTGGGACACACTGGGAACAGAACTGGGATGAACTGGGAGGGGAGTGGGGACACTGGGATGGACTGGGAGGTGTGGGGGGGCCACACTGGGGGTCACTGGGTCATACTGGTTTATACTGGGATGGGACAAACGGCATTGGGGGGAGATTTGGGGCCACGGGGTCATACTGGTTTATACTGGGGGGGGGGGACAAACGGCAGTGGGGAGAGGCTTGGAGCCATTTTGGGGGGCACTGGGCCATGCTGGGTCATACTGGTTTATACTGGGATAGGACAAACGGCACTGGGGGGAGGCTTGGAGCCATTTTGGGGGTCATGGGGCCATACTGGGCCATACTGGTTTATACTGGGGGGGGGTCTCACCATGGCCCCGAAGGCCAAGTCGAGGGTCCGGGCGAGGGCGGGGCCGGGGGGGGCGGGGGAGGGGCTGAGCAGGATCAGGGTGATGCTGGGGGGGGAACGGGGGGGGTCAGGGGGGGGGTTTTTGTCCCCAAAAAATGAAGCCCCCCCGACCCCCAGGACCCCTCCAACTGCCCCGAAATCTCCCCCCCCAGACTCCACCCCCCCCCCCCCCCCCCCCCCCCCCCCCATGACCCTCTCCTTCCTGTGGCCTCTCTGCTCTTGAGCTGACCCCCCCCATGACCCTCTGTGTCCAACCCAGGACCCCCCAGACCCCCCCCAATATCCCCAGGACCCTCCAACCCCCCCCCTTCGAACCCTCCAGACCCCTCAGTGACCCCCCCACCCCAGACCCCCCACCTGACCCCCCAATCCCATTTCAGGACCCCCCAAACCCCCCAGGGACCCTCCAGGGGAGCCCTGTCACACCCTCCCCCCCATTCCCCCCCCAGGACCCCCCACTCCCACGTCCCCCCCCAGGACCCTCCCAAACCCCCCCCTTCCCTCCCCAGGACCCCCCGGGACCCCCCCCAAAGTCCCCCATTTCCCCCCCAGGACCCCCAAACTTCCCAAAATCCCCCCAGGACCCCCCCGGACCCACCCAAATCCCCCATTTCCCCCCCAGGACCCCCCCCAGACTCCCCTATTTTCCTCTCCAGAACCCCCCAACTCCCCCATTTCCTCCCCCCCCGGACCCCCAAACTTCCCCAAATCCTCCCCGGGACCCCCCCAAACCCCCCCATTTTCCCCCCCAGGACCCCCAAAATCCCCCCCAGACCCACCTGTCCCCGTAGCCCCCCCAGGCCAGGTGCGCGGTGGGCGTGGCCGCCTCACGAAGCTCCACCCCCGCCGCCGCCCCGAACAGGTGAACCCCGTGCAGGGCCCCGACCAATGAGAACGGCACCTGGGTTTGGGGAGAGGTCAAAGGTCATGTGAAGGATTCTCACCTGGAGGGGTGGGGTCTCAAAGGGGGTGTGGCCTCACCTGTGGGCGGGGCGGGCGGCAGAAGAGGGGCAGCCCACTGGCTGTGGCCAGGCAGAGCAGGCAGGGGGCGGGGCCTTCCCCGGGCATGGACACGCCCACTTCGTGCAGGACACGCCCACCTATCTTTTGGACACGCCCCCTAATCTTGGGATGCACCCCCTCTCTTGGACACGCCCCTTTAGTCCCGGACACACCCCATTGGCTCTAGGACACGCCCCCAGCAGTGGGCACGCCCCAAATTATGGGACACGCCCCCTTGCCTAGGGCACGCCCACCTGGCTCCTGGACACGCCCCTTGTACTGGGACCCGCCCCCTAGTCCTGGACACGCCCCTTTATCTCATAGACACGCCCCTGTCCCAGGCCACACCCCCTTCTGATCTAAGCCACGCCCACCTGTGTGCTCGAGTCACACCCCTCCACCAGGCTCCACCCCCTCCCTGGCCACGCCCACACGGAGATCACCCAATCACTGCGGCCAGGCACTCTAAGGCCACACCCCCGTAAAGGCCACCCCCCCAGGCCCACCCACCTCAGAGACCACGCCCCCGTTTCTACAGGCCACGCCCCAAAATTGGCGACACCACGCCCCCTTTCGCTCAAGCGCCGCCCTCTCCGCCTCAGGCCTCGCCCCTTCCCCTCAAGCCACGCCCCTGCCCGTTTAGGCCCCGCCCTTCGCTCCGACTCCGCCCCTTTTGCCGCCGCCGCCGCCGGTGCTCAGTTCCCGCCGCTCGCCGCCATGTCCCGCGCGGGGCACGCCGGGAGACGCCGCGGTTGCCCCGGCAACGAGGGGGCGGAGTCTGAGCTCCCCGCCTCTGATTGGCCGACGCGCGGTTGCCGCGGCAACGGTGTTGGGGCGCGGTCTGCTCTCCCCTTAACTGATTGGCGGAGGCGCGGTTGCCGCGGCAACGGGGGGGCGTGGCCAACGCTCCCAGAGTCCAATTGGCGTCGGGCCGACGAAGCCCCGCCCCTTCCCTCCGTTGCCGCGGCAACGCGTGTTTCCCCGCCATTTTGCGCACGCGCGGTGGGGGTGGCGGGAGGTCACGTGAGGCGAGGCGGACGCGAAAGGGAGCACGTCCGGTGGCGGCACTTCCGGTGCAGCGGGAGCGGCGGCCGGTACCGGGGGGGGGGGCCCGGGGGGGAAATTGGGTCCCGGGGGGGAAATTGGTTCCCGGGGGGGGAAATCGGGGCCCGGAACAGTCCCGGGGGGGCTTTTGGGGGGTTGGGGGGGGTTGGACCCGCTTTTAACGCCTCTCCCGCCCCTCAGCCCCCCCTGGGACCTCCCCCGGCCCCCCCCCGGGGCGATGGTGGTGCCGGCGCTGGACCCCCCCGCGGCGCCTCCCCCCGCCATGGTGGCCGACGTGGTGTTTGTGATCGAGGGCACCGCCAACCTGGGGCCCTACTTCGAGTCCCTGCGCAAGCACTACCTGCTGCCCGCCATCGAGTGA